ATTATTATTATTATTATTATTATTATTTCAATTACCATGAAATAATTTCTGTATTCTAGCACTGAATTAAACTTCCACAATTTATATTAAAGTTTTATTATATTTTGATCAAGAACTCAAATATGCATATGAACTCACACTATTTATTTCAATAGAAGAAATATTCACAAACAGACAATGTTAAATTAAGGGGACCGGTATTTCCATAGCTAAAGTAGACTTTGTAACATTAATTTTAGCCATTTAAATGTTCAGTATAAAGAAATTATACTGAAATTTTAAGCATATACATTACTTTTCTTCAAAACATATATTTCTTAAACAATTATGGATTGTTTAGAATTAAGTTAACAATCTTCTTGCAGTGAATTCGTACAGATGCTGGCAAAGAGAAGCTACCTCAAGAAATATTTCCTAGGGGAAACAACTCCATATATATCTACCTGGAAGAAGATTGAAGAGATATACAAAAGTGGAAGATGTCACAACTAACTAGTCAAATAATTATCTTAATAAAATGCATCAGCTATAGCTACTTCAGCTATATAACTTGTTACAACAAGCAAAAATCAAATGTTAATAACACAGGATGCTCCATAGAGTCTGGCATGCAAAAGTTAAAGAACCAGATAAGAAATATAAACAATAAAGTGCAAATTAAATGAAATTAACATGCATTACCTATACACTTAGATTAGACCTTGCTTTGCTGTACCAAGGAAAGAACAAATTTAGACTTTATCTGCAGAAGACTGTCAATGAACACGTAATAGAAATATTTTAGGATTACTCAAGGAGACACAAATCAGGCTAGAAACAATGAGGCTAGGACTTGAAATAACTGAGACTTTAATATAAGAAATACCTGCTGCATAGTTCTTTGTTCTGATATTAACAAACATAAGAGTTTTGTGAAGAGTGAACAATTTTAAATGTTAATACCGGAACTAGTTAACTCACATAAAGTTCAACATGGCTTGGGGGAAAAATATTTTTGTTCCTTTAGAATGGTGGGAATTATTATAAACAAAGAACTTCCAAATACTATTTTAACATTTCAGTGTTTTGCTATAGGAGGTACCTTGCGTGCAATAGGTTCTTGACCTTCCAGAAGAGTATACCAGCTAACCAGTTTGTTCCATCCTTCAGTTGGTAAAAGAATGTAGTCCAGCTCATCAATAAGATGCTCTTTAAGAGATTGACAATCCCCATCTATGAGGAAAAAAACACAGATTACAAATGGGAATCTTTAAAAAATGAATACAACTTAGTCTTATGATGGAAGTCACTTTCTGAATTACACAGTCCCCCCCAAATATTTTTTATAAGAGATTCTTAGAAATATACTATTCCACTAATCCACTATATTTAGTACACAAAGGACAACTATCTATTCAAGTTACTAATACCTCAATTTAATCACTACTGTACTTTTTAATCCATCTTAAACTTTTAATTTACTTTTAACATACTTTCATCTTTTAGTTTAAATAAATTTCAGAAAGTTTAAAGTTTATTATGCTTTTCCAATACAAAAATAGTTAGAAAGTTTTTGATAATTTGTATTTTCCCTCCTTGGCAGCAGAAACTTGCTTTGTGTAAATTCTGGAATATTTTGAAAATCCTAGATATATTACATATAAGATAATTGCAATTAAACATTCTCTTCTTGCAGGTTTTCATTAAATATTTGAATCCTATGAATTAGGACACAGGCTGTGGAGTCACTAAGAAAACTGTAACAATAAACTATCTTATTAATATACTGAGACACCTCAGAATTTTTTAAAATAGCAAACACAAATAAATTACCTTTGAGAAGTCCAGAATTATCAATAGGACCAGGATAAACATTCTGATCTCCCATTTGATACTTGTCCCAGCTGTCAAATCCAACATATTTTTTCCACTGTTTGAACCAACGACTATCCACTAAATACCTTCAAAAGAACGTGATAGAAACATATATTATGAAACAATTTCACAGACCTGCATGATTGCTCACATAGTTAATTTCCCAAACATAGATGTTACTACATATCAGGACATCTGATTCTAGTATCAAAACTTTGCGTATTTTTAATAAATAATTCTGGTGCTATATTTATACAAATCTATTTAGACATACTTTTTTTTATATCCAAGCAGGATCTTAAGCAAATCCACATTCTGTAGAAATTTAAAAGAAAATACTGATATATGCTATTGTTTCACTTCTTAGTTCCTGCCACAGGTAGCAGCTAAACAAATCTAGTTTTTTATATTTGATAGACAAGCTGCTCAGATATTTGTCTACTGTGCAAATCTAGGTTCTCTGGATATATCTAAAATCAAACTAAACAGGTTATCCTCACTATTACCACTTGCCATGCCAAAGTGATACAATTTTTTTGACTGCATTATATTAGTTACTTTAATACCACTTATCACACTGAATTTCTGGACAACCTGTAAGGACTGGGAATCTGACGAAATAGTTCATCCTTTGATTTTCAGAAGCTACCTACTTATTCCTCTTCTGTCATTTATATTGAGTTCCCATATGGAACATATCATTCTGTTCTTAAATCTGTTTATCAAAGTGTTTGTGAGGATATGATATTCAGTTTTACTCTTCCTTTATGAATTATGCTATGCTATGCCATGGATATAGAGCATAGCATAATTTGAGTTCTTTGGCATTCAAACAAAAATTTCAAGTCAAGCAGAAAAGGAAGGATGAAGCCTAGTGCTAGGACAACTAGTTGGAGTTGTGGCATGAGTGCCTGGAGTTGTGGCATGAGTTGTGACATACAACTCTTGCCAAAGACTCCTTAAAAAAACTGCTTTTTTCTTTTCACATGATAGATGTGGATCACTGGAAAACATGCACTTTAAGGAGCACCAAAAGGATGCAACAAGATCATCTGGAAAGTGGAGCCACTCTTAACACAAACAAATATTTCTCTGGAGCCCAGAATAAATGCAACTTTTTTAAGGAGATACCAACAGATATGTTGTGCACATCCACATTCATTTCCATTGACTTTTTGACTCTGAATCTGAAGCACAACACATTCCAATTTTCTAAATATTTTCTCCCAAAGCCTGCCATGATTATTCCTGGCTCTCCAATTAGCTACAGTATCATCACTTCAATACCAGATTATCTAGAAATTATCTAGGTGGATTTATTCTGCTTTTAAATCTTTGCTTAATTTAAGCTTAATAAACATTCTGCTATAATTTAAGACTGGAATATATTTTAATGAAATAAATTACCTTTAAATTAAGTATTAGGGTTATGGTCAAACTGTTTTAAGACATAAAGCATTTAGAAGACATATTTAAAAGAGATATTACAAGTACCAAGCTTTTTATTTCAAATAGCTGTACCCAGCCACGCGTTGCTGTGGCTCAGTCTGGTAAAAGCGTGTGTTGCTTTTACGTCCAACAGATGGCGCTGTTTTTCAAAAAAGCATGTTTTTACCTGTCACAGGTGTGACATCTATATAATATAGGTATATAAAAACACACACGTATTCGAATGCAACGTTGTGTTAAAATTTCAAAGCAATCGGTGAAGAACTTTCAGAGATTTAAGGTTTTGAACAAACGAACATTTACATTTTTATTTATATAGATGTAAGAAAACTACATGCCAAACCTGTTAGCATGTGAAGCAATAATAGAATTTAACTTTATAAAATTATAACCTCATAACTGGAATGAGAGAAAATACTGAAGACTAGTAAGGCAAGATTATATTATATCTTATTATCCAAATGATAACATTGTGGTAATTTTACATATTGCCAATTAAGGTTCAACCCCAAAATATCAGTTTCCAAATCTAATGGTAATATAAATAAAAAGTACTATAGCTGAAGATTTAAAAAAAAATTCCTCCACAAAGATCCAAACTTGATATAGAAACAATATATATCTACAAAAACATGTGAGTTTTTAATACCAAGTAACTGTAATTATAATTATGAACTGTCTTAACCTTGGGGCTAATTTCAGTAAGTAGGGGGTGCAATATATTGTATATTACTGGAAACAAAAGACAAAATTGTTTACAGTATATTTCTACGTACATATGCATATGGAGTACAAAATGTACCACAATAAAGGCAAGTGAATTTGTATGTAGTAAATAATCTCTGAGGCTAATAAAATCTTATATGATTATTAGGAAACAAAACCTAATACTGGTGTATGCTATTCTAAACTTTTGGAAGAAATGTAATAGAAATAAACATAACTACTCAGCTATTCATTTTTTTCTCCATGAAAAAATGCTATATTTTTCTCCCTGATAGAATCTGTGCAGTTAACTCTGCCCCAAACTCAAATTTATAAAAGTTGGACTAAATTGTGATTTAGTCTTAGTATATGGACACAATTTAAGATATAGCTTGTTTCATTTCCCATCAGCAATTTTATATATGAGTGGTATATAGCACACTTTTGAATTCAACATGTAAGAACAGAAAGCCAAACTGTTTAACAATTGTTTGCATTGGTGAAAATATAAACTTTACATTAAATACTATAAGAATTGTGCAGGTTAACATTTAAAAATAATGCTCTAATTTCAAAATCTGTTACTGAAAGGTGAAATTCATAGAACACATTTCCAAGTGTATATGATTAGATTGTAACAGCAAAATAACTTTCAAAAATGTAAGCTGATTCATGTACCTGATGGATCTGGTCATCTGCATGTGATTCACCATCCAAAATCAATGGCAATGGAAGGCAAACACATTTTTACTTATTGCTACTTCTCTACTGGGTGTACTTCCTACTGCCACAATATGTATACTCATTAAGTAAATTCCAAGCCAACTTGGCCTCATTGAATACTGCAAAATCAATGATTGGTATGGTGCAGGACTATACAAGTTCTGCTGGGTTAAAAATTGCAGCAAGGTTTCTGTGGATACTGAGGGCTGTACTCTAAAAATGGCCAGGGGCATAGCCCATTTTGGGAGAGGGCTGCAGAAATGTTAAGAAGTGAAATATGTATTTCACTAAGACTCAATATGTTCATTTTACAAGTTTAATATCCTTGCAAACTGAAAATGTATGGGCCCAGCCTTTCAGAAAAAAGTGCATTTGGAGCTGCAAAAGAGATGTTGGTGTCAGATGGTCGATCTCCAGTATGCACTTTTTCCATTCCTGGTACAGAAGCCAATGAATGTGCACACTTGGTCTTAATCTTCCAATCTGTTTTTCCTCCCAGTCGGAGGAGGAAAATATTTATGGCAATGTAAACTGTACCTTAATCTATAAATACTACAATATTAATCAGTTAAGATTTGGCATATTAATACAGAAGGTTACAAAATCCAAATTTCAAGTGTTTAATAAAAGATTGATATTTATGTATCTAAAATCTAAATCAGGTTATGAGATCGAACAGCCCTTTTCTGCTCAGCCCCTAAGCAGCTCTTAATTTAAGAGACATCTTGCTTGATCTTGGAGGCAACCTAGACTTTATAGATGGGTATATATTCTAATTTCCCTTTAGAGACTAAACTAATGGCCATAATCAAACTCTGCAGCAATGAATTCTTTTAACAAAAATACATTAAAGCATCTTCTCTGGATTGCCCCAGATCTCCTAGCATTTTGCATTATGATATGATTCTAGGTGCTAGAATTTGGGGAGAAAAGAATTACTCTCTCTCCACTTTCTCAGCATCCTCCATAATTTTATAAACCTCTATCTGACCGACCATCCATTACTGTTTTACTCCCTCCCGTCCTTTCTGCAATCACTGTTATGACCATGAAGTTAGCAAATTAAGAATTCTGAAGGGAGTGGCAGGGGAGAAAGAGTCGAGTGTTATGAAAAGAACCGGGTGAGATATAAACCCAAGAAGTGCCCGCAGCCCTCCCAACGACGATCATTCCAGAGACACAGGCCCTACCATGGAAGCTCCCTAGGAAGCCGCTCTGGGAATGAGAAACCTTGCCCGAAATACACACTCGCACCGTTCCTCCACCTAGGACGGGTTGCTAGCGACCATTTGAAACAATGGGGGAAAATACCTGGCGGTAGATCCCTGCACGCGAGGAGTTAGCGCCGTTCCGACAGCGCGCTGAGGCAAAGCCAGTCACAGGCACTGGAGGGGGGGAAAGGGCGCCTGAAAACCTGCTCCCCAGATAGAAAGGCATCTCCCCTGAATGAACAGGGGTAAGAAGGGCAGAGGAGGGCTGCCGCCTCCCTCGCCAAAAGACACTCAGGCAGGCACCGCCCGCACCTGTCATCGAGAGGGGCCCTCAAACATCCCCGCCGTTCGCCATCCCTTCCTTTTTCCTCACCAGGTGTCGCCCTTGCGGAGAGCCGTCTTGAGCAGCGCCGCGATATCCGAGCGTTGGGTCTCCAGATCCGCCGCGCCTCCCTCCGCCATGTCTTCCAGCCCCGGAGCGGCAGCGGCAACAGCTGCGAAAGTGACGGCAGCAGGCGGAGAGGCGTAGCAGCGGCGGCTGCAGGAACAGGAGCGGCGGCAGTGGCAGGGGCGGCCCGCGCTGCATGCTGGGTGTGACGCTGCGCGGCGACCGGGGAAACGCCTTCCACCACCCCCTCCCACTTCGGCAAACCCATGGATGGAAGCGGGAAGGAGACGAAGAGAGCGCGTAAGAATTCGAAGCGAGAAGAGCGGCAGTTCGGCCTGAGAACATCCCCAGGCTGCTGGGAGGACTATACGGCTCCAATGAGACTACGCATGCGGTGTTGGGACCATGGGACTAATAAAAGGCAGGGCACAGGTGCAGGGAAATGGAAAAAAACCTAAGAGATGGCCAGGGCAAGACACTGTCCGCCGAATGTGTTGCGGATTGTTTGCCTTTTTTCCTGTGTGTTTAGCAACGTGCAGGATTTCTGCAACGCCAGTGTATTCAAACCGCCAAGGCGGATTATAGAGTATTGGCAGGTTCTTTTTATCTGTTTGTAGTGTGATAGCCCTTATTATACTCAATTTGCAAGGAGCAGCTTTCTCGGTTCTGGCGCCCTGGCAGTTTGTTGAAACTACAGCTCTAGGAATTTACCTTAGTTGAAGGCATCTTAAGAGCCACTTATTACTGAGCCGGATTGTGAAATGTCGGTTGTGGACGGTAAATATACAGGTGACCATTTATGTTAATGAATTTGACGTCAAGATACAAGAGTTCTGTAACGTCAGAATGTAACAACCTTGGTAATTTAATTTAGATTGTTCTAAACGTAATTTTGGTGAAGCTGTAATAGAATTGTGGGAAGTTAGCCCCCCCCCAAGGAAATATTAAAAGGGTGGATTTAATTTCTTCAAAGGATCTGGGCATGCTTTTCTGCCTCTTTAAGATCCTTTGAAGAAATTAAATCCACCCTTTTAATATTTCCTGGGGGGGGCTGACTTCCCACAATTCTCCTTCCCCCAAGTAGAAACTAGCACTGTAGAACTTCAGGAAGGTTGGAGCCCTCCAGCATGAAGTTTAGGAAGACCAAGACACCTAAAATCTATATATCCCACCAAACTCTAAGACAGGACATAATAGGATTAACCCACAGATGCCAAAGGGGCACACTCAGATTCAGATCAAAGTACATGACACAGGAAATACAAAGCCTCAAACAGGAAACAACTCCAAACAAAAGCTCAAGAGGGTATTAAACCCACTCCGTACTACACGTGCTCTCTCTTTTCTTCCAGAACCATCTTTCTGTCTGGCACTCCTCTTCAATAAACTACAACCTTCTTTCTAAAGCAGTTGCCATGTTTATTCCCAGCTTGGACTGGACCCTGATGAAGACCTTTCCTTCAACAATTTGGCATCCTAGATGGAACTTCAAGCTAACCTCTGCAATGGACTGAGACTGGTAAGCCCCATCTTGCCGGTAGCAGACCCCTTGTGTCTGTGGATAGATTTCCCAGGCCCTGCCCATGTGGAGCGAGGATAGTAAAAGGGAATTTTGAGTTTGAGCTCAAGGACTGCTTTTGAAAGAAGGTGGGTACCTCTAAATTTTATCTTTTAAAGCCCAGGGGAGCAAAGGAAATGTGTGTATATCTGTGTGTGTGAGTTGAGAAGACCCTTTTCCCAATCACAGTTGTATTTTGCTCTCTCTGTCCTTTCTTAACCGCAGAAAGGATCTGTTTAAGTGACAGACCCTGGAAAGCATGGGGTTTGGCCAGAGCACAGGACCTTTTGTTAGGGAAAGGGGAGAGACTGTGTGAAAATGGAATGGAATGAGAGAATTGGATTGGGCAACCAGCTGGTAAGACCCTATAAACAAAGCCCCAAGTTAGAAAATTAAGCCCCGGGCTAGGAGCGATCCATACCTCTGAAAAGCAAGCAGAAGACCTCCCGGACATTTGAGGTCCGCAAACTCTGGTAGTGAAGGAAAAGCCAGTGAAGGAGCAACCCATATTCTCTGCGGGGAGCAGAAGAGTCCTCACCCCTTTTTGGTCTGAAACCGTGGTAGAATCCCTGAAGGAATGACTCGTACTCTTTTAGGGAAATCAGAGTCCTCCTGGGTCCCTTTTTGACCCGAAAACCGTGGTGATAGGTGGAAGTCTCACTAGGAGCCGAGGTGAACCCCTACATCGGAAATAGAGGAATCATGGGATGTTCTAGTTCGAGGGTCGAGATAGGCTCCCCCGTAAAAAACTTGCTTGAGGCCAGGGATGGGAATCGGCTACCCATTCAGGGCGGTATGAAAAAGAGAGGTAGAGAAATTATGCAAAAAAATGGGCTTTGCTAGGAAACCAACTCAGCTAAATAAAGGTACTTAAAGGGAAATTAAAATATAGGAATAGTGATATCTCTCTCTCTCTCTCTCTCTCTCTCTCTCTCTCTCTCTCTCTCTCTCGGCAACCACATGATATGTTTAAGATTTGTGCCTTCCCTAGTTTGAGTTAACTGAGATTTATGGTGGGAATGACCAGGATGTGTAAAACTAAGACTTCTGCTTCCCTTTTCTGTTCTCTTTTCCTTGCCTTTGTGTGTATATATGTGTCAGAGTCTTTGTGTGTGAGGTAAATGTGATTGTTAAGTGTCTCTAATCCAAAGAGAAAAGAATTTAAAAATTATGCTAGAAATTCTACTTAAAATAAACCACCAAAAGAAAACCTTCAACCTGTTTGCCTAGCCAGAAAACAGTCTGAAGATAATTGAGTTCCCCTTTGCCTTCCCTTGTTAGGAGGGAATGTTTTAAGCTCATTTAGAGGGAAAACTTTGTTTATTTGTTTGTTTTATTTGTGCATTTTCTGTAAGTGTTGTAAATGGGTTTTATCTGTCTATCCTTTTCCTGAAACATGAGGTGTGTCTAGCTACAAGAGCCTCCTGAAGCTCAAGTTTGCTTGTATAGGGAAATAACCTTCTTAAGTTACTTTTCTTATCCTATCACTAATCCGTGAAACTAATATTATGAAACTAATCCTGGAATATATAAGCATTTTTTTAATCTCTAAAATAATGTAGTCTATTTTAGAATAAATGTTAAAGGTAGATTCTCCATGCCCTCCATGCCCGCACACCTTAAAATATTAGGCTTTTAGGACTTTCTGGTAACGTCGCAGCGCAGGGGAATGAAGCTCTATTCCCCAAGTCTGATTTCTAGCCACTGGGGGTTCCAACAGGGCCGAAAGTCGCCCCGTAGAGGCGACTGGCCAAAGGGCGAAGCTTTGTAGATCATGGGCCAGCAGTAGCTGACCCGCTTGATCCAAAGAAGCCCTCGGGACCAGCAGGAAGAAAGGCTGACCGCACCCGTACGGTCAGCCAGAAGCTGCTGGTCGTCAGACACAACGAACACAAACAAGCTGAAAGCAAAACAGCTGATCTGGGTGAGACTTCTTTCCTTACCTCTCTACAAGTGAAAAATACTGGTTCCAGAAAAAGCTCCCAAAAGCAAGAAATCCCCAAACTTTAGGAAGGGGTGGATTTTTCTCTCTCTACCACTTCCTCCTGAACTATAAGCAGCAGTTTAAGCGTTGCAGGAAATTAAAACTGACTTGTAATAACATTGTGAAGACAATTGAGGGATAGAAGAAGGATATTTTGGGAAACTTTTGCATTTAATTTTTTTTTATTCCTTGTTTGGAAGCCATTGGATTTTAACTTTCTAAACTTTTTAAAGTTTGGTGGGAATGGACATCTAATGACATCTAGTGGCAAACTTAAGAACTACATTTAACCTTGCATTTTTAATCTTATCAAGCTGTTTTGACTGGAGCCCTAAAACTTGGCTAGATGCCCAGACACAGCTTATAGTATAAATTTTTTGATGTCCTTGGAATCTATAGTCCTGGATATTGTGGCTGAAAAAGGGAAGAATCTTTTTGGATTGCCCTTTTATAAATAAAAGTTGTTTTGAAGTCATCTGACTTCCCTGGATTACAATTCCTGGATTGACCTGGAATTTTTACAGGCTGTTTTGATAGAGTGAATAACAAGAAACTTCTACTAGCAGAAACTTTGGATTACAAATTTTGGTATATTTTTTTCTTTTTTTCCCTTTTGTTTTTTTTTATTATCTATATTTTTTTACTATTTACCTTTTTACTATTTACTATTTACCTTAGCCTATTGGATTACAAATTCTGATTTACTTGGTGGATTATAAAGTATGATTAAAAGATAAAGATGAACGTCTCAAATCTATCTAAAGCTGGGAAAAAAGTAACTTCTGCTCCCTCCTCTGCTTCTGCAAGTCCAGTTTATCAGAGATAAATTGATACAATGCTCCAACAAGAAAAGGCTAATAAGTTCCAAAAAGAAACTCAAGCGATGCTACAAGCAATTCAAGAGGCAATTGCTACTCACATGGCAGCTACAACGAGAAACCATGAGGATATAAAAAGTGATCTTGATAAAATGAACTAAAAAGTTAATAACACGGACTCTCAATTTGAAAATTTCAAACAGATGGTTACAACCAACCAACAAAGAATTAAAAAAATAGAAGGTAAATCAACTGAGGTTGACCAGAAATTAGAAGTCTTAAAAGATGAAAACCAGAAATTGATGCAAATAAATGGAGAACTAGAAGACTCGATAGCTGTCATGGAAATGGAAAAGGCCTCATACTTTTTAAGATTTCAAAATATAATGGAAGATAAGGAAGAGAACCTTCTAGACCTGATAATGGAATTATTGGCAGACGCATTAGGAATTGGAAAACAGGAAATGGAAGGAGAATTAGATCAGATCTATCGAGTCAACTAAAACTATGCTAGAAAAAATAAAGTCCCCAGAGAAGTACACGTTAGATTTCTTAAAAGATCCATAAGATACGAGATTTTGAGAAGAGTAAGAGATGAATCTCTGAAATACAAAGAAAAATAAATTGTAGTTCTGAAACAAATCCCTAGGAGAATAAGAGAATCCCGAAGAGAATACCAGTTTCTAACTAGAAAATTAATTGAAAAAGGAGTGAATTTCAGATGGCTGATTCCAGAGGG